TGTTAGTTATTTACTTTAACATACCGCCAAAAAAATGAAAATGTTTATTTATAATAAAAAGTATTGAATAGTATATCAACATTTTATTTTTTGTTATTAATTTTTAAAAATTATCTAAAAAAATTTGAAAATTTAATTTGAACGAGGAAATCAGGGATGAAGAATCAGTCTGTAATGTCATAAATAGGGAACGGATTTATATGGACTATTAATCGAAAAATATGGACATATAACTAAACATTTTAAAATATGGACTGAAATATAAACTAAAATCTAAAATATGGATCAAATATGGACCGAAAACTGAAAATTTTTAACGGAAAATATTCATTTTTAAGCATCAAAATTTAATTAAGTACTATATTTTTTGGACTTTTCAGAACCCAACTAGGCCAGGAAAAAATATGGAAATCCATATAAATCCATTCCCTAGTCATAAATTTTAGCAAGAATGCAGATATTTCAATGTACGAACAGTTACTCTACTGATTTCGGTACCTACGGCCACTGGGTGTTAGATAGTATATTGCCCTATTGGGAATAGAATTTTTATATTTTAGAACAAATTTAAACACGCAAGAAATTATTTTTATCACCCCAAACCCGATTTGACTGCCCCGTTATGGCCGCACAACGTTCGATATGCTTTATATTTTTTTGCATAATTTTTAATATCAATAGAATTGAACATTTGTTTGGCTGCCATTAATGTCTTTTTTCAATTGTTACTCTAATAATAATTTTTAAAAAAGTCGGCATTTTGAAGTTTTTTAAAAATTTATTTTTAATCAATTAGAGTTGCGTTTTGATAAAGTGCAACACGTGATTTATTTGTGTTGCCGCTCATTAATTAACAAGAGTGTTGAATACTCTGTCATTTCATTATAAATATTAATTTTAATTAAATAATTTTTTTAATATTTTTTTAATGCTTCACTTAAATTCGTTTATTATATTAAATTATATTTAAATTATTAATTTTCAATTTTTAAATAAACAATTTTTACAATTTATTATGATAATGTTGTGGAAGAATTCATTTGATGGGAGACAGTATAGAGCCCAGACCCAGACGAAAACACAACCGGGTTTCTATCAAAACTTAAAATTTTTAGCTCCATTATTATTTTTTCAAATCATTTTCTTACAAGTTGACTGAAATATATTAACGGACCTAGAACATCTCTAATAAACATTCCGTATAACATTGACTATCTTAAATTTAACAACAAATGAAAAACAAACGTTGATAATAAAACTCGGTATTTCTTAGGATGTTAATAGTATATGGTGAAATATTATTACCGAGCTGAGAAATTTTTCGACTCGAGACCGAGACTCACAAGCAGCACTAGATGTTCGGAAAGTTTTGTTCGAAAAGTTCAGACTTATTTAAAAAGTTGCCTGAAATATAGTAACAAAAATTTAAACATTTTCTGATGAAAATCCCTCTAAACATTCTAATAAACATTCCCCTAACAAAAAGGCAAAATGTAAAGGAAAAGTCGATAACTCGGCATTTTTTATGATGTTAAAAGTGCAGCTTATGATTTTAAAAAATATTGGGAAATTTATTTACATACACCTATTAATGAGTATGTCTAATAATTCAATGATTATAAAATTAGAATGGCCTTTAGAACTCTACTATAGAGTAGCCCAAACAAATAAGCTCTGAAAGAGAATTGTTTTGTAGCCCAAACAATTCTATGAAAAAAAGCCCAAACAATTCTCTTTCAGAGCTTATAAGTCCGGTTCCATTACTAAGCTTTTTCCATGAGATTCAGCGTTCGCAAAATTTCATCTCCTCCCTAGTTTCAAAAAAGCACTGTCCAAAAAAATTCAAAAAATTCAGGTATATTGAGAGTCTCTCTATATACATATAATTTAAGAAATTCTTCGTAATGATGGTTAGGTACGGGGATCTGGCGAGCCAGGACTTTTTCATTATACCCCCTTCCCCAGTTCAATCATTTTAAAATTCTCTTCTTAACATTTTATTTTATTAAATTTTTTTCACGAAATTGTTAATTTTTTTATAAAATTTTGTAAAGCATATAGCTATTAATTTCCTAAGGCTGAGCAGTAGGCGGCGTGGTGTAATGGCTAACACATCAGTCCGGTCTACTGAAGATGCTGGTTCGCTCCCAGCCGCCGATTAAACTTTTGCACTAGCTAAAGGAGAAAATAGCTATAGCCCAGCTGCTTTACTATTTATTAAATAAAAAAATTATTTAAATTAAAAAATTTTTAGAATGAGAATTAATTTAATTATTATTCTCATAATAATTTTCATTAATTTAACATTAATGAATTTTATTATATCAATGAAACGAAAGGAACCTATAAACAGTTTAAATGAGAAAGGAACACATTCAGGATCCTCATCAAGTTATTCTCCCGAGAAAGAAGTTAATATCGGGAAAAGAAATTTGAAAAAAGGAAAAAAGAAAATTAGAAGCAATTTGGAAATAAAAAATAAAAATTTTTATCCAATTGTAAATGTACAGGAAAAATTGATTGAATATTATGAAAAAATAAATCCAGATTTTAAAATAGCAAAAAAACTGGTCGATGACGCGAAGGATCGAAGCAATATACTTGATCGTCTAGGTGGAGATGAGCTAAAGGTTTTTTGATCCAATAATAATGAAAATAAATATAATTATTTTAATGAATTATTTTGATGAATACCTATTTATAAAAATGGACATCCTAGTCCTCTAAACTACCCTTAATTTTATTAGGCTTAGAATCTCTATGATGCTTAAAGAATCTGAGCCACTCTTAGTTTCTACAGCTGTTTTCTAAATAATTTCACTTTTATAAAATTTAGATGGCATATATACGAGGGTTAATAATTTTATACAAATATGGTAGAGTATCAACGTCAAGATTTAATATTAACACCAACTTTATTAGAAATGTTCTTCAATTACATCCTAATTGCTCTGATGAAGTTTTTAAGGACAAATATAATAATCGGTAATATGACTTATACTCTTCAATTAAACAATACCAGGGTTCCGAGACCCGAGCCCGATTGCTCCGAGACCGAGATTGAAAAATGGTCGAAGCTTCGACCTCGCACAACCCTAGTTTAAATATAGAGAACACTTATATGCCGTAAAACAATTTAAAAAATTTTAAGCTCTGAATACAATCCTGAAAATGAACATCTTTGGGATTTAGTTATGTTATCAATGAGAATAGATGTTGGACTGAAGGAATGTAAAGTAAATTTAGATAAGGTTAAAAAACTTTATATAAATAACGGAAAAATAAATGATGAGGAATTTTCTAAAAGTATAAATCATTCGAGTTATCCAAAAGAAGAATACCAAAATATTTTGTATCAGCAAGATGGGAAGGACAATTATTGGGAAGACTGGAATAAAAGAACAATGGAGGAGCAAAACGAGGAGGAGCAGAATAATCTGACGAAAACTTTAAAGAAGTATGAAAAAACGAAAGAAATTCCATTAAATGAGGAGGATACTTATTGGGAGGATTGGAATAAAAAAACAATGGATGAGCAAAATGAAACCGGGCCATCTCATGTTAGCGATATTCAACATTCGGATAAAGGGAAGAATAAAATGGATAACAATGAAAATTAAGAACATCTTGAGAAAGTTCGAGATACATTATTATATTAGTGATAATTGAAAATCTAAAAATTATATTTTTATACTCCCTTGCTAAATGTTTTGGCTCATATCTTTTACATTTTCAATTAATTTATGCACCCATAGAAAATTGAAATAAATTGGCGAAATATTGACAAAAACTGCTAAAAATTAGTGAAATATTGAATTAAATTATGGTTTATTCACTAACAAAAATGAAAAAAAAGTTGCAATTTAAGAAAAAAATTATTCACTAACTAAAATTGCATATTATGTTTATTGAACGACGAATCGAGTATTTTTGCTCTGTTGGACACCCCCCCCCTCTTAATAAAATTCTCCCATCTCCCGCCATAATTCCCCCATTATAAGCAAGAATTCACCATTTTCAGCGCCGTAGGCGAAAACTTTAACGATTTTGGAGGTTCAACTGCTAGATTTCTTCAATTTTTTTCTACAATTAATAAATTACACAGAATTTTGATAAAAATATGCAAAAATATTTAAATAGGTAACTGGAAAATTGGCAAAATATTGAAATGCAACTTTGTTCATAATTATAATATCGAGTAACTAATGGCATGTTTGGGCTTTCTGCGACAAAATGTATTTGCAAAAAATATTTATTTCAATAAAAATCCACCCTCTTATTATGAATATGCTGTGGGAGACGCTCAAAAATCCGAGAAATTTTTCGACTCGAGACCAGAGACTCACAAGCAGCACAATACATATATGTCATCAGAATTTGTTTTGAAATTTCAGACAAGATTTTTTCTTAAAAAGTTATCGAAATATAAATAATAACGAAAATTTAAAACAAACATTCTCTGATAAAAAAATCACTCTAAACATTCTTATAAACATCCCTCTAAAAAGATGTAAAGGAAAAGTCGATAATGAAACTCGGCATTTTTTAAGATGTTAATAGTGCAGCTTATGACTTAAAGAAGTATGGGGAAATATTAGATTTACAAAAAATGGATAGAGATAAATATATTGAGAGAGTCTCTCCATCTCTCCATAAGTCTTTCCTATAAACTCGCATTAAAGAGAGATGTGATAGGCAGTAAGAAGAAATTTGAAAACCAATTTGGCTTAAAACCATTTACAAAATTCTAAGTGTATGAGGGTCAGGGATGGAGAGCTAGGACTCTTTGCATTACATATAGCCCTATTCAATCATTCTAAAATTCTCTTCTTATTATTTTATTTTATTAAATTTTTTTCTCGACATTGCTAATTTAATTTATAAAATTTTCAACATTCAATTGTATAATTATTTAAATTTTAAAAAAATTATTAGGATGAAAATTAATTTAAATATTATTCTCATAATAATTTTCATCAATGTAACATTGTTGAATTTTATTATGTCAATGAATAAAAATGAAACATACTCGGAACTCTCAACAGGTCATTCTGCCGGGAATGATGATATAAACATAACTGGAAGCTTGCAAAGCGTAAAAAAGAAAATTAGACGCTCCAAGGAAACAAAAAATAAAAAAATTCCAATTGTAGATGTACAAGAAAAATTAATTGAATATTATGAAAAAGAGGATCCAACTTTTAAAATAGCAAAAAAACTGGTCGATGGCGCGAAGGATCGAAGCAACATACTTGATCGTCTTGGCGGAGACGAGCTAAAGGTTTTGACCCAATAATAATGAAAATAAATATAATTATTTTAATGAATTATTCTGAGAAATAATTATCTTCAAATTACATAATACAGTAAATTATTAGATTACATTTAATGTAATTATTAAATTACATTTAATATATGTATACTTAATGATTCGAGCCCTGCTTAATTCCTACTGTTAATTTTTAAATAATTTTCAAAACTTAAATAAAATTTAGTATGCCTATATACGAGGATTAATAATTTTATACAAATATGGTAGAGTATCAACGACAAGATTTAAAATTAACACAAATTTTATTAGAAGTGTTCTTCAATTACATCCTAATTGCTCTGATGAAGTTTTTGAGGATAAATATATTAATAGGTAATATGACTTGTTAATTAAACACAAACACATCTTGTCTTTTTAGTAATTTATAGGGGAAATTGTTAAGGATATACTTGAGTCTTGGAGTTTTGGTCTTGAGTCTTGGTCTTGGAAAAAATTTTGTCTTGGGTCTTGAGTCTTGGAAAAATTTCGGGCTCGGACATCTCTACCCTTTACTTTGTCGAGGGTATTAAAGATGTCAGCGAGTTTAGAGAACAATTATCTGTCGTAAAACAATTTTAAAATTTTTCAGCTCTAAATACTACAATCCTGAAAATAAACATAATTGGGATTTAGTTATGCTATCAATGAGAATAGATGTTGGACTGAAGGAATGTGATGTGGATCTGGATGCTGTTAAAAAACTTTATATAAATACCGGGAAAACAAATAATGAGGAATTTTCTAATCATTTGAGTTATCCAAAAGAAGAATACAAAAATATTTTGTATCAGGAAGATGACGAGGACAATTATTGGGAAGATGGTATGTCTATTCGACATACAGATAAAGGGAAGAATAAAATGTATAACAATAAAGATTGAAAACATTTTCAGCAAATTCAAGATGCATTATTTTGTTAGGGATAAAGGAAAATCTAAAATTATTATACTCCATTACTAAATATTTTGGTTCATATCTTTTCCACTTTAATTAATTTAAGGGGGCTTATGAGTGGGGGGGGGCTTATTTTTCGATCGACCTCTAGAGGGGCTTATTATGGAGGGGGGTTATTTTGGAGTGGGGGAGGGTTATTTTTAAAGAGGCTTATTTTAGAGGGTGAGCTTATTTTGAAGGGGGAGGGGTTTATTTTGAAGGGGTGGGGGTGCTTATTTTAGGGGGAGGGGTTTATTTTGGAGGGGTGGGGGTGCTTATTTTAGGGGGGGGCTATTTTAGAGGATTTACGGTATATACCAAACAGAGTGGTTTCGAAATTTCGACCATGATTCGGGTTGCCGGCCTTCGAACGGTTTGTTTCGATAAAAATGAAGCCCGAAAAAGACTGACCGGTCCGGCCCGAAAAATGATGCCAGAAAAAGAATCGAACGGCCCGGACTGATAAAGATGAGGCCCGAAAAAATGACTCGAACGTAGGCACGGTTCGAAAACGGCAAACCTAATATAATGTTAAGAAAGAAAAAGGAAGATATTTGGCTTAGGGATCTTCCAAAACTCTTAAAAATTTCGCCTGCGGCGCAGAAAAGGGAAAATTCTAGTCATTAGTTTTTCCCAATTTCTTAGAGTTAAAGCAAAAGTTCCAACTGATTGTATGACCTAACATAACAAATTTCCGATTTTAAAAATTTTTATTTCGAAACAACTCTGATACTAAGTTTACAAATTCTAATTTTTTGCATATTTATTTTTATTTAAAGTAAATTATTATTGTTATCCATTTTCTTATTCATTGATGAGCCACAGTGCGTCCGTAGATTATTTGACCAAATACTCTTTTTTATATCTCGAGTTAAACTGTTTCTTTTCATTTGATGTCTTTAATTTATTAATTAGTAAACATTTTTACATTTTTATGCAAATTTTCACTTTAACATTTTAATTACTTCCTGTGAAAATTTAGCCAAATTTAAAATTAGTAAATTTTTAACTGTCCGTAAATTATAAGACAACCTTAATTTTCTAGTATTTTTAATCTAGAAATAAATTAGAATTCCATCAAATATATAATATATTGATGTTAATATTATTTTTGTCTCATAAGGACGAAGGGAATCCAACACATCCAGTTAATCCTCAGAACGTTGATAATAAAGATAATTCAATGGATTGCTCTTATGAACAAGAAAATGTTCATATTGAAAATCTTAATCAACAGAATGACTTGAATGATGTGGATTATCTTAATTTTTTGTATGATCTAAATTTTTTGGATAATCAGAATTTTCTATAATGAAATGAATTTATTAGATAAACAAATAGATGATTTGAATTTTTAAATTTTGAAAGAAAACTAAATATTCTTCAACTTTGTGTTAAATTTTAATTTTAACACCTTTTTTCTAATAAATCCAATGAGATTAAATAAATCGCCAAATTACTTTACATATACTGTATATACTCTATTAATTACACTCGCTCAAATAATTACCCCGCCTCTATTAATTATCCTCTCAAGAGAAATGTTGAAACAATAAATACTCAGGGTAATTAATACAGTATATACGGTAAGTAGATCAAAATTTTACAAAATATACATAGAATCTTTCTCTCTTTTAAAAATTCTGAAATTTTATGCCTTCGCTCTATAAAATAAAAAATTCATCCCAAATCCTCTTATATTAATAAATTCAAATCAAACAATATCCCCTTAATTGTAAATTAACTTTATTTAATAAATCTTTGTTTAATAAGTGTGTGTAAAAATTCCTATGACATTAAACAGGGTTTCGATATGTGCGGATTTTTCCTCATTTTGTGGTTTTTTGATATGTTAATGAGGATTATTTTTAAAAATGCGGATAAGCGGATTTTTGTGGTCTTTTGAAGATTATAAGTATTTTTTATATTTTCTTGTAGTTTTTACGATAAACTGTCATTTTTCTTACTTCTTTAAAAAATGCGCAAAATTTTCGCCTGCGGCGCAGAAAATGGAAGAAATTAGTAATAATTGTAACAAAAATTGCTTCAGAATTATAATGTATAAAGTAATTTTAATTAAATTTTTGTGTTTATAATTTTTTGCAGATTTTTGATATAGAATGCGGATTTTTAGATCAAAATTGCGGATTTTTAAAATTTCAAGATCGAATTTCAAGATCAAATGATTTAAATAAAATATTAAATGATGGGGCTGAATCGTCTGTTGCTCCTCAAAATCAAAAATATAAAGAAATATTAAAACCAAAAATTAGTAAAATGTATAAGAATGACAGTAATTTGGCAGAAAAAATGATAAAGAAAAAAGAATATAACAACGATTATTACCAAAAGAATAAAGAAAAGAAGAGAGAATATGATCGAAGTTATCGGGAAAACAATAAAGAAAAACTAAAAGAAAGGAGAAATTCTGCAAATTTTAAACAAATTAGAAAAAAACATGATCGGAACTACAGAAATAAGAATAGAGAGAAGATACTAGAAAATAAAAGAATTTACAACCAAAACAATAAGGAAACGAGGAAAGAATATTTTCGAAATTATCGAGAAAAAAAGAAAAACGAGAAGGAAACTTTAAAAAATGTCTTTTCTAAATTAAATAATATTCAATCGGAAATTAATGAAGGAACTTCTTTTGTTCTTCCACAGGATAATGATTTGCCAAAAGCCTCAGATAATTCAACTAATATATTAAATGATGGGGCTGAATCATCGGTTAATCCTCAAATTCAAAAATATAAAGAAGCGTTAAAAACAACTTCCAAAAATGGAACTAAACTTGAAATTGTGCAAAATATTAATTCAAAATTAATAAATATTCAATCAAATGAAGGAAATTTATTAGCTAATACACAAAATAATGAATGTGAAAGTAAAGAAAAGGAACCGATAGTTTCCAAAGAGAATATCCAGTTAGAAAAAGGAGAAAATGTGGAAGGAAATGATAATGCTGAAGAAGGAGAAGAAATTCCTATTCAATCTTCTCATAATTTGGTAGTGAATGATAAGGCTGAAGGAACTTCATTTGTTAATCCACAGACGGATAGTTATCTAAATAATATATCTGACAAAAATGCTTGCCCTTATGGACAACCAAATGTTCAATCATCTGATGGCCTTCTTACTCAACAAATGGATGATCGTGATGATTTAATCGGTCAGAGTTTATTGGATGATTCGGATTTTTTGGCTTATTTAAATTCTTTTCTTAATTCCTGAATACATTTTGGATAAACAAGTGGATGAATTTTAAATATGAAAACAACAAAAAAATAAATCTTTCCGTTCCCTATATTTGATCTTTTCTTTAGATTTATAGCTGTACATATGAACTATTCTGCAAAATTATGTCCAATTATTTTTTCATATTTATTTTTGATTAATTTAATTTTCCTTAATTTTTTAATTGAAATTTCTTTGTTCTATAGACAATTAATAAATTTTTAATAAATTTTTAAATAAATGTTTGACTTTGCCGAATTCGCAAAAAGGGAAGAAATCTACTGCTTGGACTTCCAATATTCAAAAATTTACGCCTGCGGCGTTGAAATACGATGAGATATGTTTATAATTTGAAGGAAATGCCAAGGGGTTTGGGCGAGATTTCCTGCCCCAATTGAAAGTGTATTTAGCTTGACTGGCTTGGCAACTAAGTGAATAATGAATCGCACCGAGGAGAAACTTTTAAATGCAAAGTTATTAGTACATCTTAACATTTGATTTTATTATGTTATGTGTTCATTTATGAGGTCATAGAGAGTATGTGTTGGACCCTTTATATATGCTCAATCTGACATAAGATTAAGAATTCGAGAGGGAAATTTAAAAAATATTGTGATATGCACCGAAGACGCCTGAAGATTTAGTGTTCACCGCCGCAGGCGAAAACATAATGAATCTAATGAAACGCAACGTTTCGTGCAGGTTGCTTCTATCCGTGATTCCAATTTGCATTATCCAATGATATTAAGCTATCTGTGACATGCTCTGATCAGCTGCCGAGTTGATTGAAAAAACAATTAGAACTATTGTCA